TAGACGCAAAAGTAGAGAAAAGGTTTTATCATGTGTGTGCTCCGGAAGTACAACGCGTTCCCCTTTGCTGGACACACTGTTGTGACTGCCTTCTTTTCTTTACACATCGATAAATGACCGTCTCGCGCAGTGCAAAAGCGAAAGCCCGTCATGCACCTTTTACAGCGAAAATGGTGACTCTCCCTGTTCGTCAATTTTCCGGCAAAGTTGGTGATTAGAACAAAGTGATCGTCTATTAGTAGCAAATTCACGTGCCTCTCCAACCCGCTATCGTTGAGTTTGAGTAGGTAGGCGAACCTGTATTCTCGATCGTAACCGTATACGTTGACGGACACGGAGTTTTTTTCCCTTGAAAGCCTGCACGTTTTGCGGAAACGTCACTGGATGACTGGTGGGGAACCAATACTTCATCAAATGTTTTCATTACCAAGAAGCTCTCGATCGATTAGAGGGCGCGGGATTGAGACCGGCGAGCAATAAAAATACAAAGCTTGTGTTTCTTTCCGAGTGATTCAGTTGCTCGTTCACATTCAGTAGACACTTTTGCTTGGGAGTTCCCTGGATAACACAAAACTTGCACAACCGACCGTTTGCGGAATGAAGCATCCAGTGGTGATGGTGCAGGTCTGAATGGCGACGACAAGTCCGGGTCCATGTTCTTGATACTGTTCGAGACGAGCGGATATATATCTCGGCGCATGTTGTCTGTAGAGCATTGAAAATGCTACCTTCGGCCCAGACCGAATGGACTAGAGAATGAAAGTAGTGCACGCTGAATTCGAATTCGTCGTCGGCATTAGGACGAGTCATTTCCACGGGTAATGCGATGAAAAAAAAAACGCAATGGCATTTCATAATGCCTAAAAACATTGGCCAGTGCGTCGGACTAAAGACGAAAAAGCGTGGATACATCGTGAGACTCGTGGTCACGCTCGTGCAAATGCATATCATAACGCGCAGTAAAGTTCCGAATGGCGCACAGTGAGTTGTTGAAGGGAAGGCAATCTTGCGGGGGAATGTTGTGAACCTGGGCCAGGTGGATCTGTAACGACTCCGCGGTGGAGTACTGCTGCCGCTCTCGCACATCACACAAATGACCGGTTTCCATTTTAAATTGTTCTGCGGCTCACAATCCTCGTCCGAGTACTAGAAAGCAATGACTGCAGTGGTGACCGCTCGTGACCGCTCTTTTTCTATACCAATAGTCCCTTCATCGCCCTCATTCTCTTGGTGTCTTCCTCGGTCAGTTCGACGAATCGCTTCGGTAAAAATACTTTTACCACATCCTTCTCTAGCTGGAGCGTCAAACACACACACACGGATGGCCTGCAGCGTGTGTCCACTCGACTCACTTCCAGCACTGGTACCTTGACGTTGCACGGGAATGAGCCAATGCTCAGAAACGCAGACGATGACGACGATTGCAGTGAAGACAGCTTGTGCAGGATCCTGTCAATTTTAAGCTGACCGGAGGGGGTGACGGTGGCTCGAGGTGATGTGGCAGTCTGCAAATAAGCACATTAGTGTACAGCGGGCCTTCAAAGCTTTTTCTAGCATTACCTTTTCTTCTGGAGAGAAATCAGTGAAGAGGCGACGATCCACCCGGACCTTCATACCAAGCGACTTACAAAGAATGAGGACTCGTTGTGAAATCAGCAAGAGCGTCACTAATCTCTATAAATAAAAAAAAAAAAAAAAACGAGACAGGAAAAAAAAAAAAAAAAAAGCGAGCGAGTTTAGCCTCAAAGCAGAGTATTGAATTACACATTAAACGAAAAAAAGAGACTATCACATTTCGGGCTGTCGAGACATTTCCAGACATGTCTAGACTGGACGGTCTCGTATCGCGCGGTCTACTCCGACCTTAGAGAACCTCGCTTACTGTAAACAACTTAATTTTTACGAGAACCTAATTTTCGCGAAATTTCGCGAATTGCCTTCAATTCGCGAATAATAGATCCCGCGAACAATTCTGGTAAAATGTAAACATAATAGAATCTATATTGAGAAACCACCAAGTCGCGAAAATTAGAACCCGTACAAACTCTTGAGCAACAAACTGTGCACAGGCTCACGCAACAGACTATCGCTCGTAAGTTGTGCGAAAACAAGAATGTTGTCGTGGAGAAAATAGGACTGAACCCGTTTGACAACAAGCGCTTTATCGACGATGACGGCGTTTCAACTCTTCCTTTCGGACATTGGACACTTTTGACATGCTCTACCTAAGGAGACGAAAGATGATGTACAACAGTGTGAAGCGCTTTCTTTTTTTGCTTTTTTTTATTTCGGACCGAGTAATGAATTTGTGGACAGAGGGGAAATATTGAGTAAAGAGCCATTTTATAATTTCATGTTGCGCGATGTTTTTTCTCCCCGAATGTAAATATGTGTATAAAGACCCGTTGTAAATGTAAGACAACAGCAACAACAAACACAAGAGATTGCCGAATACGCAGCTGTCTGACGCCTCTTGTTCAACTACCTCTACGCGTTAAACGCTAGTTAGAAAAAAAACAACAAAAAAAAACGAATATAGAACAATTTAGCGCAGCCCTTGTTTGAGATCGGAGTCTATACCAAACATATAACCGGGAAGTCGCATAAAAAATGGCAGGACATCAGTGGAAGACGAAGAGAGCTAGAACGACTTTCCTCAACTTATTTTCATCTTCCAGGTGATGTTCTCTCATTTTTGATGCGCGAGTTCCACTCAAAACACCTCCCACGACTCGATGTTTGTTTGCCATAATATGACTGCCAAATCATTTCAAAGGTCTGTGTTCCAGATTGGTCGGGTTTGAGGCAGAATCAATGCCCGCCCTACGCTCTGGTTTTCGGTCCATGCTGAAATCGTCGACGTGCTCGTGGAAGTGGCCACAAAAGCTCGTGTAGCCCAGTTCCCATTCCTGCCTTTGACGGCAGCGACGAACGCGTCTTGCGCAAATTGGTCCTAAGCGTGCAAGCGTTGCGTCATCGCGTGGCAACGAGGGAAGCGGGAGGAGAGACTTATGGCGAATTCGGGTGGTCAGTCGTCGGCAACTTATTTTGCCGGAAAAACGGCAATAGTGTTCGCGTGGCCAATTTCAGGCCGGCGCGCACCGTTCGGGTGGTGGTTCTCGGGCAGGCACCCGCAACTTTTGGGTGCTTTTTCCGCCCGAGCTCCAAACGGCCGGGCGAGCAGGCGCCAGACTGTATCCGGTGTCGTCACTTCCGAAATGGGAGAGAAGGTCAGTGAGAAAAAATTATTGGAAGAACGAAACTGATCTGAAGTCACTTCAGCAGCCACTACTCGAGTCAATCCAAACCGTTAGGACATGGGTGACGGCGGCGATAGCCTCACGGTGTCGCGCGGGCAAGAGGCGACAAACGCATGGTTCAAGGAACATGTCACGTTACATGCTCTTAAAGTCAATCGTTTGATAAGTGGTAACGCTCAATAAATGTTTTAAACAGTTCATAAACGGCTACACATGGGTGGGAGGCAAGATGGTCGGTGGTTTTGCAGCAACATTTAGGCACTCTAGCTAAAGGATTCTTCGTCTCGCCTCTTTACTCGATTACACTGCGTGAGTGCCGATGGGAAGCAGACGTCTTCCCTGCCTCTCTTGCTATATCTTTTATTTTAAAAAAATTATTTAGCTGAGTGTAAATTAAGAAAAAAAATGTCGCTGCTCCGGAAAGCACGTTTTTTGTTCGTTTCCATGCTTGAGTCTCGATATTAGACTCAAACTCATATTTCGACAAAAGTGTCTGGGTCTGTCAAAAAGGTGAGCATTTTCCCGCAAATCTAACCACAATGGTCAAAACTGGAGTAAAAAATGAGACGTTTACAATTCTGCGTAATGTCGATTTTGAGCGCAGCTCTTGAGGAGGAGGAGAAAGTACGCAGGAGAGAATATGCCCGTGTGACGTCACAAGGGTGACGTCACACGCGACGTCACCCTTATGACGTCTGTCGTGACTCTCGTGGTCGCACTTGTGACCCTCGTGACGTCACACGTGACGTCGTGCGTCAGCTTATAATGGGAAACGTCCTATAATGCAACGCACGGTTAAGCCGACGGCGACGGCGACGCCGCTCAACTCGGAAGTGGGCGTCTTAGAGCTGGGTTCGAAAAAAAAATTAAGCTTAATATAAACGTAAGTAAAACAAATAAGCACAAAAAAAAGGGGGGGGGGGGGGGGGGAAACGTGTAGACCTATAGTTAAGTTCCTCGCTAACACGCTGTTTCCTTCCGGTAATAAAAGTGGGCCTTTTATACGTTTAACTACACCGAAGACATACTTATATGCGAGCGTCTTGAGTAGGATTTGACCGTGATTTCGGGACATCCACGCGCGAAAAACGTGACAACAAAGAAATTTGCCATCTGTAAGTGGATCAAAGAAATATCCATGAAAAGTACAAACCTATAAAATGAGCTTAAAATAAGGATCTCCGAGCCTGAAACTGAAAGCGGGCCTACGGTGTTGTGACCTTTCTCTAGAAAAGTTCAAGCGGTGCGTGTTATAGAGTATTCGTTTTCTGCTAATTTTGTCCAACATTTAACAAATGCGAACTGAGTGCTATTTAGTAACTAGGTCGGACAGTTTAAGAACTGCATCGAATGTTTGCCAAAAGACACACAACAAATAGCCCTTTCATCGCTTTGATTTCGTTAATTAATCGCTTAATAGAATATATTCATTTGGAAGCATGGCTACAAAAAGCATTGACTTCAATATTTTATTATATCTTGTGTGCACTCTTGGCTCACCAGAGAATTTGTGTATACCGCAAACAAAGACGTTTCTAAACTACAATTTATGGCATGACACCAGTTGATGAAATAAACAAGAGGGACATGCCAAGGCCAAAGACACGTGATAGCTAGAACGGTCTGCTATGTACAATGACACGAGTGGTTATATGTACCTTGGCACTGCCATTTGACTAAGAGTTCAATGACGTCACATAGAAAGGCAGTAAGAACGCCAAAAGTGAGTTTCTTTGCAGATTATGTTATGTGCAATGACTCGTCTGTCTTTGCCTCCTGCAGAAGACTCTTTACAAACAAAACGGCATTCGACTTCATGAGATTCCTCGAGAACGCGTACATTGACTTGTCATCTTCGACCTCTTCCTCTTGCAAAAAGTCATATGGAAAGAAACCTAGCCAGGCACTCTTCGTAAGTCCACAGCAAGTTCGGTAATGATGTAGCACAATCTCGTCCGCAGGAACATGCAGTTTCCTTACCCCTGGACGATGCTCCCATACGAAGTGAACTCCACCGACCACAGTGGCGTTAGGCCTAGTGATGTACTTGGATCGAACGTTGTGCTCCCAGGGTATCGCTTCACGGACGTTCTCTATTAGCGAGAGTAAAGGGGGCACTTGACGGAGAAGGGCTGAGTTGTATGGATACTCCCTGCAGAAAAACTGGTTCTGAATGACCATGCTTCCTAGAACGTTTCTGCCGACTGCTGTTTCTACGCTGAGAAGTGCTTCGGGAATAGAACGTTTTTTTCTGGGGACAAGAAATTCGTCGAAGTCTACGCTGATGAGGTACTCTGAAACAAACCTTGAGCGGTAGATGCAGTCCTGAACGGCGGCCAACTGCCCGCACTCTAGAATGAGAGACTTGTTGAGGCTGAGGTTCCACTTGTGCAGCTGGATCAGGGCACCTGAATGACCCTTCATATGAGACAAGAGAAGTGCGGCTTCTTTGGAAACGTCATAAATGTAAAAGTCGAAGCGACTGACACCCATGGAAGTGTAGTAACCAATAAACTCTGTAATCAAGGAGAGTTGGTTAAATTGGACGTTGATTGGTCTTACGCACACGGAACAGAACTTGAGGGAACTGTTTCCAGCCTTATGGACCTTGACCCATTTTGGTCGAGTCATGTTCCAATGTGAACCAAGAGCGACTCGCACTGTTGGGTGGTCTATAACTTCCGACGGAAGTTTTACGGGACACGTGAAAAAGGCGGCTGAATACTGTAGGTCGTGATCTTCGGGGACCAGTCGGAATCCCGCCTCAGCAAGGAAGACCGCTGTCCCGGCACCAACCCAGCACTGTACGTCAATAGGAGTGCGCCGTAGCATGGCGAGATCTTTGCGAACAACACTGATCAAGCGTACTTGCCACGTTCCAGCCTGCCTTTCTTCCAGAAACGCCGAGTACACGAAAGCATCCGGGAACACCTCAACCCAGGTATCATCATCTGCGAATTGAAGCTTCGGCTGGTCGCTGGCGGCAATCAGTCTTGCAGCAAGAATTTTATTGAAAGACTTGATGGCGAGCGTCACGTCCCGGTGATTTTTATTCAAACAAGTATAATCGTTATGCGAGCCTGGAACAGAGAGAAGTCGAAGAATCAGGGAGCTGACTGCCAATGGTACATTCGGGATCTGAGATCGGAGGTTAAACTCACCTTTCCGTGCAGTCAGTTTCTTGTAGACGTAGGCTCCTGGGAGGCCAACCAGTAGCAGCAAGAAAATTGTCAGCCGTTTGAGGAAATTGCACAACCGCCGTCCCTCGGTTGCTCTGCAAAACGATGCTGTAAAATATATTACATCTTATGATAAATGACATATGTGAGAAGAACATTTGGGGTTTATGTTATGCATGTTTTCCATTCAAAGATTCCAAGCTTTCGCCTTTCACTTTTTTACCACGTGCTTGGGCGTTGTGCTCAATAACCTAAGTACAAGTGTCATTGCATACTGCCACGCTAAAGAAAGATGAATTCAGAAATGAAATTATATATTTAATTAGTTGAGCTTGTGCCTTCAACTAAAGCTACAAACATATCGCGCATCCTAGAGCGGCGATCGAAGGCCGACTGACTCGAAGCGGCGCGTTACCGTTGTTTTTATTCGCGTGGTAGTTTGAGAATTGTTTTTTCGTTGATCTTGATTTGCACTCAAAGTGTCAGGAGAACGAGGTAAAATACATAAAAACTCCACCTTACGAGGCCCATTCACACTAACATATTGCGTCAGCTAGCAGTAAAAACAACATATAAGTGATAAAACAACACACCACTGACAGAAGAAGCCAACTGCTCAATAATATTATTATTATTATAAAATTCACGAAGAAAAACATATCGGTCGGTGGATAGGTGTAGTATGCTGCATAGATTTACCTAGAACTACGGGTGGGTGGCACGAAAAATGAAAGGAAGATGATATATGAAAGGCCGTGCCTTTCATATAGGGCATAGTTGTGTGCGCGACTGCTGAGTGCGTGCAGACGGCGTGCTTCCACAGTTCTTTTGCCACGTCCATTCCGCGCCACCTAGATTGCCGGTTTTAGCAGCCTATAGACGCTTTGCAGTAGCTGTGCATGGGCGCCGCCATGACCTACCTTCAGTTTTTTTTCCCTCTTATTCCGTTCGCTTCACTTCGTCATTAACATAGCAGGCCAGGTCATTGCCATTTTAGATTTTACCGTGTCCTTCCACCCATCACTGGTCTTTCAGCAGACTCGTCAACGCCCGTCTTTGATGGCTCGGTGTCTCGGTAAAACAAGAGAAGGTCGGCAATGGCGGATGTAATTTGGCGCATGTGTAAAGCGTCTATTAACGTGAGCTCATTCCGAGCATGCGCTCTAAACATCGCCCTCAGATATGGCGTCCAGTGAATACTCTCTATAGAAGTGATATAGGTCCACGAGCTTGTGCCGCATGAAGATGGCGAGTGCGCAAGAAGCGAATGCCCGTGCCTCGGGTATAAGCAAGGTCACATGACCTACAGACCAATTCAGTTTCTCCGCTAAAGTTGGCGGGAAAATTAACCACACAACTTTGCACCCCCTTTAAGCGCAGAGAAAGTTGTAGTTGCACGTCAAAAAAGCTACACGTCATATTTATGCAGTGCCGACAATGAAGAAAAGCACTAAAAATACATTAACGATACTAAACAGAATGTTACGTCGAAACAAATTGGCGAGCTATATTTATTATGTAGGACGTGGCAGAAGTAATTCTTTTACGAGGTTTTTATCTGTAACTAGGAACACTATTTCGTGTTATTTCCATCATATCTGTATGATTGTTTAATAAATGGGGTATTGAATATGCTAATTTCTGATTCCCATAGGTATTGAACCGTGGTATTTTATAGAATGCATACCTTGAATGAATTCTTTAAATTCTATATTGTAGGACTCAAGTCATGTCATGTGAATTCGATTTGATATGACTTGAATCCTATTCTAAGAATTCTGTTTTATATGATTTATATAAATTCCATTTTATAGGACTCATATGTCACACCCCGTAGGTTGTCCTCAACCGTTGTATTTTATAGAATTGACGCTCCTTGTCTGTGTTCTGTGTTCCTTCCTCTTTTGTTGTCTTTTTGTGTACGGTTTTTCACTATGTTCATGTCTCAAATTATATTCAATATAACTCCGACGATATATCTCAGAAAAGGTTGTTTTGTCCCTAATTAGGTCATTTTGTATATAAATTTAAAGTTTTAAAGTTATATTTTACTGCAAAGCACGAACAAAGACCGTTCATCACGACGGACAATAGCCCCAGGGCGGTAAACAGGAGGCGCCTCGGTCGGCTGCTAGTCAGCGCGGCTGGTGGCCCACAAAAAAAAAAAAGAGATTTCGGAAGGCGATGTCACCGAGCGATTAAACACAAGCGCGTCACAGTTCGGAACGGCGCTCGGTGATTCGAGCACGAGATGGAGTTCAATGATCGCGGCCGCGGGCCGTTGCAAGAGTTACGAAAATTCCTCACAAGATTGCGCCACTTGTCTAACCAAACTTCATTGCCGGCTGGGTATTATAGTTCCCTACGAAGTATTGAGCTCAGAATACGAGTAGATCTTAAAAATTCGAGGTGTGAGGGGACAACCAGCAAATAGAACGCCATACCTTGAAGAAACTGAGCTGCGGAAGGATTACAGTTAACGAAACAGAAACGCGAACTCTCATTTCTGTGTCGTTAATTGTAATCCTCTGCAGTAATCCTCTGTTGCCCAAGCCGAAGCACTGTGAAACGTGATGCTCAAGGTTCCTGCGCACATGTCCACTTTCATATTTAATTGTATTCTGAGTTTCGTCATTCCCTGTCATTCTTCTATTGTTCGCAAATACTGGCTGTCACCGAGCTCTGCAGTAAAGAGAACGCACAGACTCGTTTAAGTGTAAAGCTTACCTCTGAATCCACAGCCCAACATCGTGTTGCGTTGACTAGACCGGCGCGATACGTAGATCAGGCTGTTGGCGTGTGGCGTGTGGCTCAAAAGTGCCCCGAGTTCGAAAATATACTCAAGTTTACTCTCTCGTCTCCGTGGAGACGATACGGGACTGCTCACCCCAAAAAAAATGCGACGCCTTTGTGGCTCCGAGGCCGTGCCACGAAGCTATTAGACAGTCTCACTGGACGATCACAATGGAGGACAAGCTCAGCGCATGATTTAAGAACGTTGCTCACGCGAGAGCAGGGATCGGATATTTTGAACCGCACAACTCGGCGTTCTTGCCTCTCGGTTTCTAACCGTTGTACCGAAGCAGTCGGTGAAACGTAGCTGTACTCCATTTATTTCTAATTTGAGACTGCAGTGGAAGAAGCCACGTCCGCGTTGGACCAGTCATACGCCTCGCTTTCGCCACGTTATCACGCTCCCGCCCATACCCTTGCACAGAGAGCCGGGCCAGGTGATAAGAGGGAGGCGGCTGATGGGCCTGGCGGGGACGTGGCTCCCACCGTAGTCTCAGCTTTGGGTTGAACGGAGTATACGCCGCGGAAGTGGCCTCATTTTCGTGTTCTGCGCATGGAAAAGGAGAAGGAGATTCAAAGGCGCGAGAGGAGGTTGATGACGACTTCGACCGATTACGACTAAGCTCCGCCCTCGCGCATGTCGGGAGTAAACCTGTGCGCCGCGGCGCCGCGCCGCCGCCGCAATCCCCACAGCCAGGACGCCGCCGCCGCCGCCACCGCCGCCCAATAAATGCGGCGCGTCGCCGGTGCTGCCATTATTTTTTATGGGGGAGGGGGGGGGGGGTGGTGTACATGTAGTATTGGAGTTTTTGTTTCTGCTTCTGCATGTGCCTGACCTACTATACTATGCATAAATAAATATATCGGTGTGTCTGTACGCTTTTCCTCTTTCCCTTTTACTCATGTAAATATATCAATAAATGTAGAATTGGGAGTAACTGAGGCACGAAACTGTACAAAACGGACAAAGCAACAAGTCTCAACCATAGCTTTTAGTCTATTTCAACACGACTGCACTTAGATATGCGTCAAGATCCTCACCACGAAAATAGCAACACCTCCTTTTCACCGAATGCCGGACACCCAGACAGATCCAAATGACTCATGATTCAGAAAGATTCAAGAGATTCACACCGACCAGCCGCCCTGACAACCTCGCTTGAGGGTTGACCGGCCACATGCGACAACAGGTAACTCCAGCACAACCGTTAACATTCTTGGAAAACCCACAAAACAAGACCTTGGGCACACACAAAAAAAAAAAAAAAAAAAAAAACGCTTCATAGCACTGTCAAATGCAAAGGACGGTGTGCTTACACAATTGCCAGAGGTCAAAATACGCATGGTCTTCTTCAGAGCTCTCCTACCATTTTCTTTCTCTTTCTGCAAAACCGTGCTGTAGCGGCGACCGTGAGTCTTTTGTTTAATGTAGTCGAGTTCACAAGATCGAGCAGCTTTGTGACCCTTACGATTCCTCCGTCGTCTGCTCATGGCATTTCGAAGATTCCAAGATCAAGACGAAGAAGAGCATTAAAATGAAGGCGCTTGCCCAGAGTCGCGATTGAAAAAACGGTTGCGCCGGTTGCTAAGAGACCGCCGTCTGATTATGCCATAAGTGTGCTTGTTTGTCTTGTGCTTCCTTTACAAACACAGCGCATTTTGCCTTCTAGCAGGTCGTTGTAAATTTTGCGTCGCGGAGTCGACAGGCTATTACTTGAAAAACAGTTGTGAAGGTAGCGCTTTCGCGATCCTCCGAACCCCACCTTCGCAGGTGATATTTAAGAATATAACTCACCATTTCGACTGGAAACTGCACGGTGGCTCTGTAAACTATGCTCCATTTCATTTTATATGCGATCGACGTCACATCCACATGGGCGAAACCCCAGCTTTAATCATACACTCTAAGAAAAAAAGGAGGAGAAAGGTAGCAACAGCGACTGTTCCTACTTGTTGCGGACAAGTTGCCCAGAGAAGGGAGGAACGGCAGTTCAGATGCAAGGAGGAGAGCCAGTTCCTCCTTGTTCAGGTGACACAGGGGTAAAACATCGCGCTACTGACCAAGTGGTCAAAGGTTCGGTCCCCAGAGGAGCGGTTTTTTTTTTTAGTTTTTCTTTTTTGTTTTTATTTACCAAAACACACATAAAACAAACCCAGACCGATGAAAGGAAAATTAAAGTCCTTATTATTCACCGATACGTTTTCCTCCTTCTCCAGGCAGACCGGAGAAAGCTTTCGCCCTCCCGACTCATCTTTCGGTTTCGTTTTTCGAGCACATCGCGCACGTTGTTTAATAAATTAATGTTGAGTTGATTGAGCTTCAGCGGCAGCGAAGGCCGCCTGTAATTCCGTCTTTTATTCCAAACGTGCAGAACATTTCGGTTGCATTGACGTTTTTACCACTAATTTTATCAAACGAGCTAACGAAGCCGCTAGAAACAGCGAAGCTCCGGAGCAGTGCCAGCAGCGCTACATACACTGGGTAAAGCGCGATCCAAACCAACGCTTCTTTTTGCGCCTGTAGGTCGTGCGGCTGCGCATGTGACGTATTTTCGTGACGACGCGCCACTTCTTCGCTCCTTCCGGGCGCGCACAAAAAAGTTAGACAATTTCAACTTCTTTCTCAACGCGCTCAAAAACGCGCGGTGACGTATAGGGCGCTCCTGTGTCCCGGCCAATCGGTGGAGGGCAAGCTAGTTCCGGCTCCGCGTTTCTTCGCCGCCTTCTCAGAGCAAGTGACAAAAGCGCCCGGTGCGCATCCACAATTGGCCCTCTCCTCCCCCCACTTTTATTCTCTTCCAACATAACAACGCGATCTCTCTCTCTCTCTCGCCGCCTTCTGGCTGTGACAGACTGGCCTGGCCGGCCAGTCTGTTGCGCGCGTGCGCGCTCGCCCGAAGTTGGCCCGTCCAAACCAAAGCGCACGGTTCTGACTCAGAAAGCGCGCCCGGAAACAGCAAAAACGTCAGGAAATGCGTCACATCCGCAGCCGCACGACCTACAGGCGCAAAAAGAAGCGTTGGTTTGGATCGCGCTTAAGACGGCCGTCTCCGATTTGCAGGGCACACGCGGAACTAGAGCTGCTAGAGCAGCGAAACCACGAGGACCTGTGTCGACGTTTTTGACATTATGGAAATCGCGGGAACTGCGTACAAAGCAGGCAAGTTTTCCTGCCGGCTGCCTGGGTGCCTTCCGTGCTGAGTTCGGTTCTGTTGCCCCGTGCCGAGTGCCAACCGGCGTTCGACGTGATTCTGTATTTCTGCGTGTCAGCGACATCGTGATGGCAGTGTTGTGGGTTGTGAACAGAAGACTGGAATTATCGCCGATGTGACCGTGTGTTCGCGTATCAGGGGTGTAACAAAGAGATGAGATGACGTAAACTGTCGGGCGTTGATGCCGCATGTCGGGCCGTGATCGGTGGGGGCGGGGTGTCGCAGGATGACATTCCGCTTTACATTAAAGAGTTTAAAACCACTTAAGGGATTAGGTGCAGTCGATCGACGTGTGGATAGTCATGTTGGAACGCTGGTCTGAACGGTAAGCTCCTATCGTACAGTGGCCAATCTGACTGTCGGTCCCCGAGAGCGATTGCGCTCTGGGGAAAAGACTGAACAGTACAAAAGTATGACGGAAAGTAGTACGTATATTTACAATTGAAGTTTGGCATAAAAAAAACAGATAAAATCGAAAAAAAATGCTATTCTTTATTTTATTGTTTAAATATATTACGGTTCCTGTAGAAACTGCCCTCCAAGTGGCGCGCTGGGATGAGCGCTAGAAGTTTTCGAGCTCGCAACGGCGTAGCTCCGTACACTTAACAGTTGCCGCAAGTCGCGGCTTTGACTGCATTCAAGTTCATCGAAAAGCGATTTCTCTGCCCGTGAAGCATCACTTCCAGCTGAGTGAATATCCGCTCTACAAAGATTAATTCAAGACGGCAATTGCAGCCGTGCGCGAGCAGCACAAATAGAAAAACAAACACTACAGTATAAATACTGGCTATGAAGGGCCGTGCGGGAAAACAAACTCGTGGCTTGGAAACACATTGGAGCGGCTCGATTTATTGGCTTTCAAATAATTACGGCATGATCGAGCGTTTTCTTTTTAATAAGAGATTCATCCCCTGAGCCATTAAAATAGTCTCAGATGTAGGACATTGCTGGAAAAAAATTAACATGTTCGGAATATTTTTTATTGCTTAGGGAGTCACCGAAACATTCCGTACGTTCAAAACGACCAGTATAACAGACGGAAACGCAAGGCTCGGGAGTAGTGATCGGGGTAGTGTGCTGTTGTATTGATGCTTGTATGTGCGATGCCTGTATATGCGCTCAATATATGTTCACCTGATGCTTGTAGTGTGCGTAACGTGTCTACATCTGTTAGAGATTCCCGAAGAAAAGGAAACGCAATTGTGGCGTAAGAAAATAAAAATATTTTTTGTAAAACATGAATTGGGCGGTACCTAGCGCCACCTAGCCAGCTACTTGCGATTACTCTGCTTGACCCTGCCATCTGGTGGCAAGCGATTTAACATCCTTGTACGCTACGCGGCGACGCGGCTATGGTCTCTAGCCACCCTAACGCGGCTACACCATAATTTCGTGTTACCGTGCTGAGGTAAGCCAAGAGGTTGCTTCGGATTTGCTTTTTTTTCTTGAGAGCGGCTTTTGGTTTTGCGGGTGAATGATTTTCACTCCTCCGTGATGTGCGATTGACGCAACGGTTGACGAAGGAATTGTGGCTCGAGGAATAGCAAAGGTAAGACATAAAATGCGCGAACTGGGTGCCGGTTGTCTCCGTTGAACATCGCAGTGCTGACGATGAGAAGACTGAGTGACTGCATGCTTTCGAAACGTAAGTTTCTTTACCTGCAGGGGTAAAGAAACTTCGGAAATAAATACAGTTCGCGGAAAGCTCGTGTTACGTTTTTATTTGCTGCTCCTCTCGCTCCGT